ATGTTACATTATGTGACCATATATATATATATCACATATGATAGTGTTATATAGTTATAATATATACTGTAATAGTCCGTAACTTGTCCATCATGGATCCATTAATATCATATGGCGAACATGTTCAAAAAAAAGTGGCCCCGATGTTGCTTTATGAAGCCGATGTTTATACGTCACGTGTTCGTTTTTCAGTATCATCGTATCATAAACCATAGTTCAATGGGAGTTATTTCAACAAATTTTAGCTATCGGAAACGGCGGCCCCAGATTGTAGGGATTTTTCGTACAGGGATTTGTTGATTTCTTCTCGAGCTGGATATCATGGAGATATTTCATGGAAATTATGGTGATAGAATGGATGTACTTCATGGGAGAATAAGAATCAATGATCATGTGATACCAGGCTGGCCGCTGGGCCGTGACAATCCTCATGGCCATACTGATAAACACGCACACACACACATCTATATATATATATACATATAAGGCATATCGATTGATATATAATGATATATGATATATATATATATATGATATATAATGATATATAATGATATATAATGATATATAATGATATATAATGATATATAATGATATATAATGATATATAATGATATATAATGATACATAACGATATATAATGATATATAATGATACATAACGATATATATATATATATATTATACATAAGATTATATAAGCTTAAGAATCCAACATCGGATATGATATATATTCATAACATAATAAAATAACAATCTAGATTCACATCGGCTTGGATTTGCAATGTTTTGCCTTTTGACCAAAACAGATCAACAGAAACAAAGCACGTTTATGCAATCTTTCCCCTGGATGGTTTCGGAAATTCAAGGATATAAACCACCAATGTCTGGTAAAGTCAACATAACTAATGTTGAGCTAGGATTAATAAAACCCCCAAATTAATCATACCCATTTTCACCGGAAATTTTGGGGCAATACTAAAGTCCTCTACGTGCTGATTTCCCCATCTTATTTTAGGTAAATCATGCCATTTTCCAGTAGCTAACTTGTATGATTGCGGGCGCCCGTCCTGGGGCAGTTGTAAAGTAAAGCAAGGCCTCAGTGTGGCCACTGTACGGGCGACCGCAAGATCGATCAGCCCAATGGCCAATCTTGGATCATTCACAGGTAAACTAACAGTTTGATTTAGTAGTTGGTTTTACGGTTCTCAAAATAGCTTATCTTATTTTACATAGTTAGTTGGTATAGATGGACCACTTATAGTTGATTTACCACTCTTAAAAATGATGATTGTCTATAGCTATGTAAGCTTGCCAGAGGTGTTCATTTTGAGCTGGCTATGGCTGGTTAGATGGTAAACCATGGCGGTATTTAAAGGTGTACCCATTCAATGTTTCCCCAGTATGATCCAGGTAAGTGCAATAACTGACCTCAGAGACCTTGCCAGAAGATGCAATTTCTAGGAATCAATATAATTAGCATTGCCCCCCAAAAGATAAACAGTAAATTCCTACCAAAATGGGGATACATATATAACTTAGCATGGCGCTCTACCACGTTTTCTTTAGAGCTATTTTGTCCAAATTAATTATTGTCCCCAAGTTTGGGTAATTGTTGTCCCCAAGTTTGGGTAATTATGGTTCCCAAGTTTGGAGAAATTAATTCCCCTTTGGGGAGTTCCCCAGACTTGGGGACAATAATTGCAAAACAGCTTCTAAAGAGATAGCCCAAGGTAGAGAGACATGCTAATAATATAACTGGTTGGTGGTTTCAATCCCTCTGAAAAGTATGAGCTCGTCAGTTGGGATGATTATTCCATTCCCAACTGTTTCTGGAAAGTCATAATCCATTCCATGGTTCCAGTCACCACCAACCAGTTCCATTGATTATTCCAATTATTAACCATTATTAACGATAGATTAACCATAGATTAACCAGGAAAGTCATAAAAACCATGTTTGAAACCACCAACCAGATACCCTCCAGTAAATTAACAGTTCGACCCTGCCATGAGTCGGGTTTGGAAGATTAGTTTCCATTAAAAATTGGTTATTTTCAGGGTCCAACTGTTAATTTACAAGAGGGTAACTAATATATATATTATGGTTATTATGGGTATTATGGTTATTATGGTTAACTACTAAATATATTTATCTATATCTATATATTAAAATTATATAACTGTTCTATCCTTTTGGTTGTTTTTTCCTCTAAGTGCCATATTTGATTCAGGCTATTCACGTGCCGGCCGCACGAAGGTTGACCTTCCAAAACGAAGTCACCCTTTAAAAAACCCAGGTGGCCACGACGCCAAGCCGCGATTCATCGAGATTTCATGGATTTATATGGGAAATCTATGGTTTTAAATGGGAATCATATGGGAATCAAATGGTTATATAAATATGGTTATATAAAAATCATATTAAATGGGAATAACATGTGCTACACCCACTTAAAAAAAACAGTCCTGATATATCACCATAAATCAATGGGAACAATGATCCCCAAAGTTTAGTAGTGGGTTTACCACATGATATCGGACTGTGATGGAACATATCATTCATTCTATGGGATATAAGAGGATATTCCCTCTCGTAATCAAACATGGCTAGCTCCGAGTGACCACCAAATGCCTGGCCCTCCATCAAGGTATTGACCACATTGCCTCAGACAGCAGCAGGTTTAAAGAATGATGGGATGGTTGGCCAGAATTATGGAATAATAAAACTATTATGATCTGAAATTTGTGTGATGAATACAAACCCATATCCGCAACTACGGAGTATATTGCAATCAAACACATTCAATTAGCTTCCAAGTGCTTAAGTCAAAGTCAAAGTAAATGTCTGCATCTCCATTTTGAAGACGGTACCTTGGGGTGCCAAATAAGTGGCTAATACTAATATTGTGCTCCAGTTACGGAATATCCCCAGTTAGATTCAACTTCGTATTTTTTTAATTACCATCTGGTTATCTAACATAGCTATGGAAAATTCCTTACAAATGGAGGTTTTAATGGGAAAATCATCTATAAATGGGCCATCTATACCATGGCTATGTCAGGGGGCTTTAAGACTCAGAATCATGGCAACGAATCATATCTGAATCAGATCACATCCATTTAAAAAAACATCCAACCTGAACAGCCTCCTAGTTGGTGCTTCATCCAACCTATAGTAGGTTAGTATAGGTTAGTTCACCCCAGTTGTACACTGGATTCACCCACATGTTTTCCCATGAACAAACCAGGTATCTTCAAATGTGGGAACCCCAGTCGTCATCATCAATGACCTGGATGATAACTAGGGCTTAGCCATAATTCGCCATCAACAGTTATTCACCACATTTCACTATTAATCATCATTACCCATAGTATTCATAGATATTCCCATTATTAACTGTTATTAACCATAATTAACCACTATTAACCACTACTACCAACTAATTATTGACCACTATTAATTAACCACTATTTAACCACTATTAACCACTCTTACCAACTATTAACCACTATTATATAACCGCTATTTAACCACTATTAATATCCCATTTTTACCCATAGATATCTCCAGCCTAACCCAGGCCACCGAGGCCACCAAGGCACCGTTGACGCTGACTTCCAGCGTTCCGCTGTGCGTCACGAAGAAGGTGGTGCCCATCTTACCCTGTTCCACGATGACGCCTGCAATTTTTAAAGGCGAGAAAATGGGTCAGTAAAGAAAATCCTACTAAAATTTCTAAATCTGGTGGATGTGACAAAAAAAGAACTAGAGACTCTCTTGATTCTAGGTGTAAATATTCCTATACTGATTGGTGGTGCAATAACCAATCCAATGAACTATGGGTTTACTACTTTATACTTACAATCTGGTTATTTAACATAGCCATGGAAAATCACCATTTTTAATCGGTAAACCATCTATTTCTATGGGCCATTTCCCATGGCTATGTTAAATAACCAGAGGGTAAAATAAATGGTGGTCAATTAGTAAATTGTCTATATGAAGTGTTTTTGATGATTACTACATTAGTATGTTTATCTTATAAATATGTATATATATATATATTAATATATATTCAGCATGGATATGTGCAAACAGATTGTCTTAAGCTGCATTAAGTTTTAAGCAAGTCATCAAGATGCTGGGCGGAAACATGCGTGCATCTGTCATATAACCTATATATATAAAAATAGAACAAAACGTATAATTATACATGGATCTATATACATGCACACACACACATATATATAATATAAGGACCCTCATACATGTGTATAAAGTGATTAGAGACAAATCCAATAAAATATGATCCTCGTATACCACTGGACGTATGGATCAGGCGCAGCCAAGTCTCTTCCTTTGGAAAACCTCGAGGAAGCGGTGCTGGCGAAACTCTGGTTGGTCTGAAACCATCCCTTTGAAAAACTGCTGGTTGGTGGTTGAGCCCCCCTCTGAAAAATATGACTTCGTCAGTTGGGATGATGACATTCCCAATATATGGAAAAATAAAAAATGATCCAAACCACCAACCAGAACTATACAGTATTCATTGGCTTAAAACCTTTCGAGGTCGACAGACACATGATATTACCCTTCTGGTACACTAACATAGCTATGGAAAATCAACATTGTAATAGGTAAATCAACGAACTGGCCATCTATTCAATAGCAAACTGTTAAACTACCAGCTGGTACAATCACAGGATGTAAAATGACGGTAAATTCTTAACATTCCAGGATTCTCCTGCATGGCAAAACCATGCAATGCCAAGGAGCTGGAAATATTCCATGGTGGTCAAGATCGCATCTACCTCAGCACGCAGCCAGCTTCATAGCCGTTTCGGGTAACATTGGAGGTTCCCACCATGTGTATAAGCTTTAAGGGCTATGTATGCGGGACTATATCCCTGAAATATGGCGTGGTATGTTGCAGTACCTCCAGTTTAGGTACCTGAAATGGCCATTGCTGAATTTCACACTGACCAACTTTGCAAAACG